CTGGGACAGCATGTCGGTCTGGCGGCTATGCTGTCGCCGTCACCGCCCCGTCGCCGCCTCATCGCCGCCTCGTCGCCGCCCGTCGTCTGGACTTGATTGTCGGTCTGGCGGCTATGTTGTCGCCGTGGCAGCCCCGCCGCCGCCAAATTGCACAGCGAAGATCTCCCTTCTAAAAAAAGAACTCGACTCTACCCCCCCCCTCCCCCGGAGTGAACGGGCCACCTTTCCGTATTGCAGTTGGCATATGGTTCTGCCCACATCGTTCATCCTCGCTGCGAATTCAAAATATCCCAGCCAGGCCGGTATCGCCCCCCCGCCATCCTCTGCAAAAAACTCCATGCGCGCACACTCGTTTATCAAAAATCCTAAATGTTCAAGAGTCCCTTGCACAAAACGAGACGAAGTGCACACGCGCGCGGCGTCGCGCGCGCATGCCGAAATCTTTCGAAAACCATCGGTTTCGGAAGGATGTCAAAATCGAGCTTCCCAGAAACATACGAACAATCACAAGGTTTCGCAACACTGATTTTCTAAAAAGCTTACGCGCGCGCCCTTGCGACATCTTACGAAAACCATAGGTTGTTCAAGCATTGTTCAAAACAAATTCTACCAAACGGGCTTCGCGCGCGCGCAGGTCGAAATCTTTCGAACGCCCTTGCGCGCGTGCCGTCGCGAGAACCCTCTGCAAACACTGGGACGAAGTGCAAACGCGCACGTCGTCGCGCGCGCATGCCGAAATCCTTCAAAAAACTTCGGTTTCGGACAAATGTCAAAATCGTGTGTCCAAAAAGCATACAAAAACATTTCGCAACACGGGTTTTCAACAAAAGCGTGGGCGCGCGTTCTTGCGTGGTCGTCGTCGTCGTCGTCGCCGTCCTCCCTCCCTCGTCGTCGTCGTCGCCGTCGTCGTCCCCTGTCTTTCCTCGTCGTCGTCGTCTTGGCGTCGTCGTCGTTTCCGTCGCTGTCGCCGTGGTCGTCCTTCCCCCCTCGTCGTCTTCGTCGGCGTTTCGTCGTTGTCCCTCCTATTTCGTCGCCGTCGTCGTCGTCGTCGCCGTCGTCGTCGTCGTATTCCCTCCTCCCTAGTCGTTGTCGTCGTCGCCGTCGTCGTCCTCCCTCCTCCCTCGTCGTCGTCTTCGTTGGCGACGTTGTCGTCGTCGTCTTCGTCGTCGCCGTCGTCGTCGTCGTCGTCGGCGTCGCCGTCGTCGTCGTCGGCGATTGCGTCGTCGTCGTCGGCGTTGTCATCGTCGTCGTCGTCGTCGTCAGCGTCGGCGTCGTCGTCGTCGGTGTTGTCGTCGTCGTCTTTGTCGTCGTCGTCGAAGTCGTTGGAAACTCGCCCGCAACGTCTACCGTTGTCGACGTTGCCATGATACCGCGCCCGCCCAAGTCGCCGACTCGCAATGAAGTGCCCGCTGGGACGTGCCCAACGATCAGCGCCACCGCGGCCGCGTCGGTCGCGCCAGACCACCTGGCCGCTGCGCGCGCGTGCTTGGGTTGGCGCGGCCGCAGAGACGCACCAGCCAACGTCGAGCATGCATCGCAATCGCCACCTGATGGGTTTTGCAAACCAAGTTGCGGGTGGGCAGGTGGGATATTTGCAAGGGCACGGGGTGTGTCAACTCGTTTATTAAAACCAAGTGCACCACATAGATTGCAAGACACCGGCTTCACAACATAGAATGCACGGCACAAATCGCACCAACAGGTTGAAGGGCATAGGTTGCACTACATTTACTGCAACGCATATATTGCGCCACGTCGATACACAACACAGATTCCACCACATAGCTTGAACCAGAAAGATTGCACCACACACATTGCACCAACAAATTGCACCGCATAGATTGCGCCACACAGACTACACCACAACTATTCCACCACGTTGGCAGCATAACATAGATTGCACCAATTAGATTGCGCCACGCCGACTGCACCACTTGAGTTGCGCACCACAAGTTTTGCACCACATAAACTGCACCACATAGACTGCACCACCCAAAGTCCACAACATAGACTGCACCACGTAGGCTGCAAACCTTACTATGCTAGGAACACACTGATTGGGGTCTACACTGGCTAACATATATATATATATATACATACATATACATATATATATATGTGTGTGTACACGCACGCACTAGAACCATCGCGCGCGCTTCGCGCGCGCGCTGAAGCTTTAGCTAGGCTGGATGGTCGAACGCTTGGGGATCTCTATATTGCATGATACTTCTGCTCTGGGGCGTCCAAGAACCACGAAGGCGGCCCAAGTGGCTTGCAAGACCTCCTACGGTCCACCGACGGCGGCCTAAGACAGGCCCAAGAGGCACTTCGGGGGGGGGGGCTCGTATTCGCCGCGGCGCGACGTGGCCGAAGGAAGAAGGAGGAGAAGGGGCGGTGAAGGGGCTCCCTGGGGCAGAAGGAGGAGGATGAGGAGGAGTTGAAGAGGATGGAGGAGGCCGCAGAGGAGGAGAAACAGGAGGAGAAGGAAGAGGAGGAGGACATCTGATACTTCCATTTTTTGCAAGCGTAGCGAAACAGCCAGGCGAACTTGAACAAACAACAAAAATGTTGGCATTCCCTCTTTTCGAATGACCTCTTTTGGGGCTCCTTCGGGCCTCTTGAGGCCTGCTGGGGGTCTCCTGGGGCGGAGATCTCGAGTTCTCGGTTCACGCTCCCGATCATGGGCCACGCTTGGAGCCCTCTCGGGCCGTCTTGGACGTCTCTTCGGTCGTTTGGGAGCCGTCGTGGGGCACTTTTGAAACCTGTTGGGCCGTCTTGAGGCGATCCTCAGGACCTCTTGGGGCGTCTTGCAGCGTCGGGAAGCGGAGGAGGCGGACACGCCAAAATTGTCCAAAAACCTATGGGAACTCAATGTTGTTATGCCTCTTCGAGCTCTCTTGGGAGACCTCCTGGAGACCTCTCGGGTAGCTTGGGGGTCTCTTAGGCCGTCTGGAGTCCGTCTTGGGCATCTTGGACCTTCGGCCCATCCCGCCACCGTGCCTGGGTTGTGGGTTAGAGGCCTCTTGGAAGTTCGTTTGGATATCGTGGGAGGCCTCTCGGGGGCCTCTTGGCGGCAGTTTTGGGAGCCTCTTGGGGGGCCGTTTGGGGGCCTCTGGGAGCCTCTTTTCGGGCCTCTCTTGTCGGTTCGCGTTCCCCCTCCTGGGCCCCTCTTGGGCGATCTTGGGCGCCCCTTGAGCCGTTTTGGGGACCTCTTGGACCGTCTCGAGGCCTTCTTGGAGGCCTCTTGGGCCGTCTTGGGGCGGTCTTGGGGGCCTCCGGGGCCATCTTGGAGCGTCGGAAGCCCATAATGAACTCGAGGACGCGGAAAACATTGAAAACCACAAGGGCAGTCGTTGATGCTTGCCTTGTTGGGCCTTCTTGGGGGTCCTCTTGGAGCGCTCTTGAAGCTTCTTCGGCGCCTCTTGGGCCGTCTTGGGGCCATCCTGGGCGTCTTGGAGCTCTCTTGGGCTGTTCTTGGGCTGTCTTGGAGGCCTCCTGGACCCTATTCCGCGCTTGCTGGAGCCCTCTTACCCCGTCTTGGACCCCCCTGGGCCTCTCCGGGGCCGCCTCTGGCAAGCGAGCCGGGAGGGTATTGAAAAGTGTTCCCGGATGGTTGCGAACTGGGCCACCCCAGGCCGTGGGGAGCCCGATGTGTTTGTGAAGTAAAAAGCACATACATCCTACCGATACGACCACCCTTCGGGTGACAAGGAGGTTGTGGGGCGGGGGAGAGGGGAATCAACATCTGACTCAATCGATCTCACTATCGATCTCACTCAACGGGACACAACGGGACACCACGGGACACCACGGGACACTTGTCGATCTCACTATCGACCTCACTCAACGGGACACCACGGGACACCACGGGACACCACGGGACACCACGGGACACTTGTCGATCTCACTATCGATCTCACTCAACGGGACACCACGGGACACCACGGGCCACCACGGGACACCACGGGATACCGCGGGACACCTGTCGATCTCACTATCGATCTCACTATCGATCTCACTATCGATCTCACTCAACGGGACACCATAAGACACCACGGAGCACCACGGGACACCACGGGACACCACGGGACACCACATCGATCTCACAATCGATCTCACTATCGATCTCACTCAACGGGACACCACGGGACACCACGGACACTTGTCGATCTCACTATCGATCTCACTATCGATCTCACTTTTTGGGACACCACGAGACACCTCGGGGCACCACATCGATCTCAGTATCGATCTCACTATCGATCTCACGATCGATCTCACTATTGATCTCACTATCGATCTCACTATCCACACCACGGGACACCACGGGCCACCACGGCACACCACGGGACACCGCCCGGCCCACCACGGGCCACCACGGGACACCCAGGACACCGCCCGGCCCAACCGGCCACCAGCTGCTGGGCGACGGACCTCCGCTCCTACTTCGGCCTAGCTACAGGAGGACCACGCGCAGCTTCGCCTCGCCCGCACGCGCGACACGAACACGAAACCGAAACCGATTTCCCGGTGGGGGGTCTCCGTTTCACTGCGATCTCACCCCCAAACCTCCGATGCTTGTTGCGGATGCGTCTACGAATGATGGCGATGGGGTGGTGGCACCAGTAATACGACTGACTACGGATACGAACGGGACACTGACAAGAACGACGAGCATGATAATGGTAAACGCACTGGTAGTGTCAATCGCCTTAATAGCAATACACAAATAACGGTGGGGATCATGAAAACAATGAGAACACGCACGCAAGCTGAAGCGGAAATCGTCATAATTATACAGATACGTGTGCTGACACTGATCACAGAACATGAAGAGCATGGCGACGATACGGGAACTAATGCGGCTCTACATGGCAATGGTGCAAAGGGCACTTGCAAACGTAAGGAAGCGGAGCTGGCGGGGGAGGAATGGGAAGGAAGAGGAATAGGAGGAGGTTGATGTCAGGGGGGAGCGAAGCTGGAGGTGGAACGGAGGGCACATGGCAAGCGCGACGTCCCTGTCCTCCGCTAGCAGGCCCCACACCGTCTCTGCCTCGAAGCCCACGTCCGCGTCTAGGAAGAGGAGGTGCCTCGGGGCGACGGGGGAGGAGGACGCTGATGAAGAGGGGGGAGGGGACGGGGGAGGAGGGGAGAAGGAGGGTAAGGCCGAGCGAACTTGCATCACGGGGAATGTGCGCTTTCGTGCGCGCCCACACACGCTGGAACCCGATACATGGTGGCACTACCCGCAGACTGGTCAGACAAATTTACCGTATGCTCCTCGTGCCACCTCGTGGGAAGCACTTCGCAGCGCCAATGATTGGAAGGGTTGGAAATCAGGAAGGAACTGCTATTTGCGCATGCTGGGTAGCAGCTTGAAGCTGTGGGTGTTGCCGAGCAACGGCGTCCTTACATGGTACAATTTACACTATTGGCATGTTTGGTCAGATCATCGGCACACCCTGTGTCATGCACCTCCTCATCGCTCTGGGCCCTGCGGTCGGATGCGTTCGGATGTGTTTCAACTGTTCTTTGTCGCATTGCAGATGGCGCCTAAACAAAGATCCATACCTGCACGCGAAGTATTCGAACTCATGTCATGAATCAACCCCGCCATCCAGCTCCCTCCCATATCGCCTACCCTCCTCCTCCTCCTCCTCCTCCTCCTCTTCCTCCTCCTCCTCCCCTTCGAACTCCTCCTCCCCATCCTCCACCTCCTCCCCCCCTCCAACTTCTGGTGGTGGTGGAAATAAGGCCCATCAGCTTGAACTTCCATCGGCCCCCACCTCCTGCAGGGGGCGGGCGGGATCCGGCTCCGCCTCGAGGAAGGGCCCCCGTGCTGACTGTCCGCTGCGGGGCCTCGGGTGCTACGAGACGCCCTACCGATGATCCCCAGAACGTGTGCTGGCGCCAACGTGTGCTTGTCCACAGAAGCACTTCCAGACGATGCAGCCGATGCAAAGAGAGCCGAATGTGCTCAATCCACGCTCGGCTAACACATGTCCTGAGGATCATCGGCCCTAGCACGCCGCGCCCGGGAACGCCGCGGCCCCCCGCGTCGCAGCTCCCCCCCCCCGGAGCTGCCACATCTGCATCCCCAGTGTAAGGAGTCCTGGGCAGTTGATCCCCCGATGTCACCTCCCAGGCTTCCAGTGCCCCTGGCAGCCCGCTCCCTGTGAGCGTCGCAGCCCCGCCCTCCCCCCGGAGCGGCCAAACCGGGTCCCCAGTGTAAGGAATCTAGAAGAAGAAATGAATTCCCTCGCGGGCCCTCCAGGGGAGCCCTTCACGGCGGCGACGGCTGGGCAGACGCCCTCAGGAGGGGCGCCCCCGCCTGGAGATGGGGGAGAAGGGGCACGAGGGTGGTGGGGGGACGGGACCTGAAGGGCGGAGGGCGATGTGGGCGGGAAAGGGAGGAGGAGGAGGAGGAGGAGGAGGAGGAGGAGGAGGAGGAGGCGGAGGAGGAAAGGGGCGGGGGCAGCAAAACAAGCCCTTCCCGCCCCATCCTCCTCCCTGGACTGCTCCTGCTCCCCTCCTTCTCCAATCGAAGGATTGCACAAAAAAACCCTGAACGAAGGATTGCACAAAAAAACCTGCAACGAAGGATTGCACAAAAAAAAAAAAACCCACGTCGAAGGGTTTTTTTGTGCAATCCTTCGTCGAAGGGTTTTTTTGTGCAATCCTACGAAGGTTTTTTTGTGCAATCCTCCTCCCTGCTTCCTCCTCCGGAGCATCCAACCTCCCTGGGTCGTTCGGGCTCGGGGGCTCGGGCTCGGGGGTCCCTCTCTGCACTGCGCCCCTGATTCCCCTGGACGCGCGGCCTTGCTCGCTCCGCCAGGGGGGGGGGGGGGAAGGGAGGGGGGACAGGAGGGCCACCGAGGACGCGGCGTAGGGCGTCAGGGGAGGAGGCGGGCACGCAGTGCAGCTGCACGGCGACTGCCACCAAACAAGACTCAAGACAGGCGCCGCCGAGAGAACGCAACAACAGAAACAAGAGCCATAAATCGCTGAGCCATGATCCAGCAAGCCTGTGAACGGACGCACAGGGCAGGTCCGCTGAACCTTCTCTCGACCCAATAGGTTTTGCTCTAGGTTTTGCTCCCGCAGAGGCGAACAGGAGGAGGCATCTGAATGCGGCGAGCTGCGCAACATGCTGAACACATGGTATGACAAACTGGAAGGCCGTGCCACACGCCTGTCGGAGCTACTCGTTCGCCCCCCCCGCCCAGGGCACGTGGCGTCCGTGGACAAGAACTCCATCACGGCGTTGTTCCGGCCAACCTGCGGTCACCAAAACCGCGGACGCCGACCAGCCTTGTCGTCCTCATTGAGGGGTAACGATAGGGGGGATAGGCATAGGGGGGGAAGCATCGACCTGGAATCGGCGATACATCGCTGGTAGATCGGCGATAGGCCTCCGATGGTGAAACCGCACCTTCCTGGGCAGGTTGGGGCTATCGGGCTCCTATCGGCGATCAGTGGGCGATTGGGGGTCGATGCATCCCCCCCTATGCCTATCCCTCCCCTATCGTTGGCCCTGACTTATCCTCATGCTCAAACGTCTCCCCTCCCGCCTGCCGAACGGGGGGGACGGGGCGGTCGAGCGTTCGGCAGAGGCGAGGGCACGTGCCCTGGGCCGTGCGAGAGAGACTGCCCGCAGGCCCGCGCACGTGTGCCTGCTACGGTAAGGGCGTTCGACTACGCTTTCGGCCTCCTTCTCCTCCTCCCTCCTCCTCCTCCTCCTCCTCCTCTCCTCCTCCTCCTCCTCCTCCTCCTCCTCCTCCTCCTCCTCCTCCTCCTCCTCCTCCTCCTCCTCCTCCTCCTCCTCCCCCTCCTCCTCAATCATCCTCCTCCTCCTCCTCCGCCTCCTCCTCCTCCTCGTCCTCCTCCTCCGTGCAGAGGCCCCCAGAAGGACCCTTTGAGAAGGTGGAAGCCCCGGCCTGCGCTCACTCCTGCGGGCGCTACGGCTCGCATCGGGCAGGGGGAGCAAGCGGAGCGAGCGTATCCCTGTGACACGTGCGCGCCAATGACCCCACGGGGCGAGCGCGCGCTGGTGGCAGGTACTGCTGTGGTCACTGGCCCCTGCGATTGCGGAGCACACCGTGCAGCTGGTGCAGCAGAGCAAGACAGACGGCATATTGCTCTAGACCCGCAGAAGAGGAGCAGGAGAAAGGGGGAAAGATCGATAAGAAGGAACTCGTCGGCATGTTTCCTCGGAAGCACCACGGCTGGCCAGAGCAAACGAACAGACAGGAGGACGGAGAGCAAGTGAAGGGCGCGGTGGGCGGCGGCGGCGGATACGGTCCTCCTGATGCTGTGTCTAAGTCTGGTTCATCTTCCTCTGCTGCTGCTGCTGCTGATCATCATGCTGCTGCTGCTGCTGCTGCTGCTGCTGCTCCTCCTCCTCCTCCTCCTCCTCCTCCTCCTCCTGCTCCCCCTCCTCCTGCTCCCCCTCCTCCCCCTCCTCCTCCTCCTCCTCCGCCTCCTCCTCCTCCTCCTCCTCCGCCTCCTCCTCCTCCTCTTCCTCCTCCTCCTCTCAGCCACTCTGGCGATGGCTCGAGCGCCCTGGGCACCCGCACTTTACAACGGCGCAGGTGCCTGGCCGACGGGACCATCGCTCGCACTGCTTTTGCAGGCCTGGAAATGGGCACCAACACCAAAACAGGGGGCTGCCTCCACGGGGGGAAGATGATCCTGGATTTCGGTGTTGGTGGTAATATTTCGGTCACCTGGGAAGCCAGAATATTACCACCATCACCGAGATTGGGATCTTCATCCCTCGGCGGAGGCACACCGCCGATCTTGATGGTCGTGTCAACCTCTGGGCCTGCGATGCTTGCAGAGGGGGAGGGATGTCGAATCGGCACCGCGGAGGACCCTTCGCAGGAATTACAGCTGCCGGCGGCCGTCCCTCGCCCGCCGTCCCAGGGACACCCTTCGCGTCGTCCGCGCGGAGGTCTGGCCATGGCTAGGACGTCCATTCCCTTTGTTTTTGTTTCGGTATCGTGCGTGGTTTTTTTGCCAAATGATCAAGGATGCTCTTCAATGGTCCTCGCCGAAGGAAAAAAGCACACGTCCGAGCAATGCCAAGAGGTGCTAAGATACGTGGAGGAGGAGCTGAAGCCGCAGATGGCGAAAGCCAGGGCGAAAGCTGCCCCTGTCCTGAAGGACGACGTGGCCAAACAGAGGCTGCCCAGCGAGCCCGTGCAGGACGACTTGGCGGCGGCGGCTCCCAACGCCTTGACAGAGGAGGTCGAGCCAGACTGGGCTCCCGATCCTGTGGTTAGGTCGGGCATGTTCCCCTGCAGACGGATTTAAAAACTCAAAAATAAACAAAAAGAATACAAACATCGTCCTCATACTATTTCTCTACAATTTTTATAATCCTCCTGTAGAGGGACCTCAGGCCCGACTTAATGCTATGGAGGAGTCGACGTCCAACAGGGAGAACGGCTCGACGGAAGAGGCCGGAAAGCCCGTGAGGAGGGCCTTCTCCGGGACAGGCAGGGGGCCGCGGAAGAAGTGCCGGTTGTCTACATGGACGGCTCGGCGCCTGCACGTAAGTGGTCTGCTGGCACGGCTGGGAGCACCCTCTCTTCAGCAGTGCCGACGGCGCCTCCCAGCAGCGCGTTTCTTTATGTTCGGCGATAATGGGCATTATAGGGGGGGGAGGGGGCAGGGGGGGGGTATCATGTAACGCCTCCCCCCCGCCGTGCGCACGGCGGCAGTGCCCGGAGCGCACTGGGGGGGGAGGGGCGTTACGTTACACGGGGGGGTGGCCGGGGGCTAGAATGCCCATTACGCCCCAAGCAAAAAAGAAGCACCAGGTGGGAGGTGAAGCGGCCCAACAGGTCGGAGGCGCCGATGCGCCCGCTGGAGGTGAGCCTGTGGGACAAACACACACACACACAAAACACACTGTGGGAAAACACACACACAAAAAAAAACACAATGTGGGAAAAAAAACACAATGTGGGGAAAAACACACTGTGGGAAAACAACACTGTGGGAAAACACACACACAGAGGGAAAAACACACAGGAGTGTGTGTGTGTGTGTTTTCCCACAGTGTGTGTTTTTTCCCACGAGCGAGGGGCATCACAGGAAGGCGACGAAGCAGCCCGTCGAGAAGGTGCGCGTTCGCCGGAAGGCGCCAGCCCGTCAGGCCAGGAAGGACAAGGCCCGGGTGGCCAAGCTGGCGAAGCGCGATGCGGAGTCGGGCAAGCAGCCACCTCCGAAAGTACAGTCGAGGCGTTGACCTAAGGGACCCTAGATAAGGAACGAGGCCCCTTTTCCATAAGTTTACCTTCGATTTCCCATCGAAACTGAAGGAAAACCTTAGGCAAGGTGTGGAATAATTAAGGAACGCCGAGCCCCTCCCAAACGAAAAGGGTTCCTTCTTCAGCGCCCCGACTGTAGTCTGGCTGGGGAAGCGCTCGGAGGAGCGCACGGCAACGGCGTGGGAGGACAAGGAGTCGGGCAGCGACCGCACGGACTGCAGCAGGGGCCTGGAGCAGGCGCCGTGGCACGGTAGGAGAAATGGTTCGAACAGCACGTGGGAAAGGAGGCCGCACCGCTGGTGGAAGCGACCATTAGCAAGGGCGACCCCGAGGAGGCCGTCACCTCCGAGGCATGCGTTGCAAAGCTGGAGGCGGTATTCGACCTGGACGCCAGGGACTGCGCAACCGCAGAGGGAGGCACCGTGAAGGAGGAGGCGAAGAATGCTCCCCTGGGCGCCATGGAAGGTAAGGCCAGGCGTTGCTACCTGGCCACGGAGTCCACAGGAGACGACTCGGGCAAAAAGACCGAGAGCAATGAGGACTTGGCGAGCGCGGAGGGGACGAAGGCACAGCTGAAGTCTCAGCACGACCTCTGCATCGACGCGGAAGCCCTGAGTCTGACACCTCGGTGAAGGTTCCCGAGGCCACGATGGACTCCACGACTGAAGAGCGGAGCATGTCGTTAAAGGCTTGACGACTTCTGCCGTCCTTCGACTCGCGCTGGAGCGGCCGCAATTTGCTCCAACTGTCCCCGAAGGTCTCTGGATTTACCCAGATGTACCTGGATGTACCTCGATTTATCTGCATGTACCTGGATTGATCTGCATTCACCTTGATGTATCTGACTCGATCCCCACAAGTCGGTTGGAAAAAAGTCGTCGAGCCTCTAGGGAGCATGCACGTGCTGGTGCACGAACTGCACCTGGACACCCTGGACGGTGAGGGCAAGACGAGGGCCTTCGGCGCGGCGCCGAGGCTGGTCCCGGTGTTCGAGGGCTCGCTGAAGCTTGATATGAATAGAGGGCAAACAAATCACCCCCCAGAATGACCACTCTGACAAGCGAGGCCGTTTGGTAAGCGCACCCACAGAAGGAATCGAACAGTGCAAGGCTGTTTCGTACACGCCCAGGGCCGCTCAGTAAACGCCAGTTGTCGGGTCAGGGGGCTCCTCCTTCCCTGAATGGAGGCCGTGACCGACACCAGCAAGGACGGGCTCGTGTCAGGGCGACGCGCTAAGGCAGGAAGTTCGCGAAGTGGGATCCCGAGCTGGCCGCCGTCGATGCAGTCAAGCGGCTGCTGGACTTCGGCCGAACAGTGTGGGGCTCAGCCCCGAGGCCTGGAGTTCAGTCGGGCCTGTCCTCCTACAGGGGGGTTGTGGACAAAAATTGAAAAATAGCCCCAAAAAATGCACCCAAACTGGTCAACAAGTATTCCCAAAAATCGTCCCCAGACTATTTTCCGACTAGTTCAGAGGTTCCTCCTCCTGTGGAGGGACAGGCCCGCCTTGAGCCTGGAGGGGCCGCGGGGTTGGGCCGTGGTGCCGCGGGTCCCTCGGCAGGGGGGGGCTGGCCCAGCAGGGGCAGGCGGCGTGTTCACTGAACCTTGCTCGGAGCGTGGGGGCGCCCGCGGGGCGCAGCGGTCCTGGACCACGCCACGCCTTTAGACTTCAGCCTCCTCCTCCTCCTCCTCCTCCTCCTCCTCCTCCCATGCCTCCCTCCTACCCTCGTACGTTCCTCACTGTTCTCTGTCTCCTCCTCCTCCTCCTCCTCCTCCTCCTCGTTCTCCTGGTTCCTAGTTCCTGATGTCTGACAGGGTCTTCGATCGCAGCCAACCCCTCCTCCTCCTCCTCCTCCTCCTCCTCCTCCTCATCATCATCATCATCAGCATCAGCAGCAGCAGCATCATCATCAGCAGCAGCAGCATCATCAGCATCATCAACATCAGCATCATCATCATCATCAGCATCATCATCATCAGCATGATGTTCAGCATCATCATCAT